GTCACAGGACACAAAGTGACCGTTCAGCTCACTGTCACGGGACACACAGTGACCGTTCAGCTCACTGTCACAGGACACACAGTGACCGTTCAGCTGTCACGGGACACACAGTGACCACCCAGCTCAGTCACAGGACACACAGTGACCGTTCAGCTCACTGTCACGGGACACACAGTGACCACCCAGCTCAGTCACAGGACACACAGTGACCGTTCAGCTCACTGTCACAGGACACACAGTGACGGTTGAGCTGGCTCTGTCGCCTGTTACAGGCGGTGTCACCGGGAACGCGGCTCTCCCCGGTCCCTCCAGCTCCTGGCCGTCCCTCTGCGCTTGCTGGCCCCCCACGAGCTTCCTCGCTGGTGGTGTGCTCTCCCTCCCGTGGCTGGCAGCACACCCAGCTGTGGCTCTGGCTCGACCAACAACCTTTGGTTTTCACCTCTGAGGCCCCAAGTTCACATCCCTTCCCAACCTGCTTCCACCCGAAGTTCACAACCGTCTACCACCCCTCCGCACGACCCGTCGCACTCCAACCCGGAGTCTTCTTCCACTGTTTACTTCAGATACACATGGGTAACAATATTTAAAGCATGTCCTAATGACTACAGGAGACACAGGCCGCTGTCTACTTGAAACTGCGTTTAAGCGGTTCACTATCTGATACGTCCTGCGCTCCGCTTTGATCTCTCCCCTGCCCCCCCACCCCCCCCCACGCCAGGTCCAGGGCACTCATGGTCTCAGCTCCCAGCTTCAATGGTGCTCACGACCCCTCGCCCTGTCTGCACCCCGCCCGGGGATGCCCTCATTTCTCGGCATAGCTGCGGGGCTCCCCGTAGCTGGCTTTGCCCTTCTCATCTCCAGAGCACAGAGCTCGCACGCCTGACCACAGTGCTGAGCCCTGACTCCTTCCCCAGCCTCACCTCTGCCCTTTTCTCTAACAGGGACAGCAAACACTACTGTTACATAAACTATTTTTATTTGTACTTAAATAAAACCAGGACTGACCTTTATGTGCACGCACACGCGCACCCACTCACACACGTGCACGCACTCACGCACTCATACGCACACACACACACACACACAGCCTTCTGTTCTCCTCTCCATCCACAGTCACATCAAACCCCAGAGGTTCTCATTGTGACCATCTTACATCAACCCGAAGAAGGGAGACCGCCGTGCTAGCTGTGAGGCCCCTCCTCACCCGGAGCTCACGGTTCTCACACAGCTCCAGGCGGACGCCAGACTTCTGAGGTGACCCACTGGCAGGGCCCCCTCACAACCTATAAGCACCACCCAGTACCTAAAACTGCTCGCTAAGGGCTGACACTTCACCCAGGACAAATCCTGCCCTGCACAGGGGGAAAGAGAAGCAAGAGCCTTGGGTGTTTCCTGGGAAGAAGCAAAAAGGAGCATTTGAGCACCAAATTCCCTAATGCCACATTGCAGGAAGGCGTGGACATACAGCTCTGACACTTCCACCCAGAAGGACCGACAAAGCAGAGGGGCAGGGACGGCCAGGCCGCTCGGCCCTGCAGGGAGCCTGTGAAGGGCCCTCTAGCACCTTGGCAGAGCTGGGCTCGGCCAGCGGGGGAGACACGCGTGCGCCAGCTGAGCTGACCCGCCGTGCTCTCCACGGCAGGGAGAGGGCTGGGCAGCCCGGAGCCCCGCCCAGAGCACTCGTCACACAGGCCCAGGTCAGAAGGGACCTTGGAGGGAAAGATGGTGCCTTCCAGAGGCACACAACCCACTCACAGGCGACGGGCAGGCAGGCAGAGCCACAGGCCTCAGCAGCATTCCTAGGGCACCCTGGGAGCTGCCTGGGGTAGGGCCAGGGTCAGGGGGCAGCAGGGGGAAGCCTGTCCGTCCAGTCAGGTCAGAGGACTCATTTTCTCCGAAAAGCTTCCTGTGTCCCCTATATCAAGTTCCCTGAGGGGAAGAGCCGGACAGCTGGAGCTCACACAGAGAGAGGGAAGCAGGGCGTTATCCGACAGAAGCGGCAGCACAGACGAGGAGATGGGCAGGCCAGAGAGCAAGCCTTCAGAACGAGTAAGGCCAAGAGAGAGCTGCCTCTTGGTGGATGCGTGAGGGGAGATGGAGACCACGAGGCGCTGGAGCACTGGACACAGCGGACTCTCCTGGGAAGCACTGCCGATAAGGACCTTGGGGGAGACCCCGGAGGCGGGGCTCGGGGCCTGGGGGGCCCACGTTCGGAGGGTGATGCCACCAGTCCTGGCCCGGTGCTGGCTACAGGCTGACGCTGCGCTGGTGACGGCCCCCCCGGGCCCCTCCGTCGCTGCCCCGGCGGCCCCGGCTCTGCGGGCCCAGCTCCTGGCCGTCCAGGCTGGCGTGGTCTGAGAGGCCTCTCAAGTGCTCCACAGAGTCACACTTCTGCAGGTCAGAGGCGACCGTGCGCAGGCTCAGCAGGCTCAGCGTGTCCACATCGGGGGTGGGGCCGGGCCCCAGACCCCCCCCCTCCTCCAGCCCCCCGCCCTCAGCCCCCTCCGTCCCGCACTCCCCGTCCTCGGCGCCCACGGGGGAGGAGCGCCGGGGGCCCGGGGCGTGGGGGGGCAGCCCCCGGCGGCGAGCGTGGATCTGCTCGCTGATCTGCTCCAGGTTCCGCAGGGCCACGGAGTAGCGAGTCTTGGCCTGAGCCACCTGCTGCTCCAGCTCCGTCACCTTGGCCTTGTGCTCCTGTGGGGGGTGGGGGGGGTGTGACCGCATGCAGAGGGCGGGGGCACCCCAAGGCCTCTCCCCTTCCCACTCACAACCGCAGGCCCAGCACCCCTAGGACCCACCGCAGGTCTCAGCGCGACCGCTTTCTCTGCTGTCTGCTCTGCCTGAGCGCTCCCTTCTACAGCCCTCCTCCCAGCGCCTCCTCTTCCTGCCGGTAACTGGTTTGGCTCCTTTCCCCAGCCCTGTGTTCCAATCCTTCCTTCTTCTCATCCACCTCCTCTTCCTCAATTAGGTTCCCATGGGCATAAACCTCCACCTGGCCTCCCTCCTGCAGCAGTGTTGCAGGTGGTCGAGGAGAAGCCGTTCCCAGCCCGCCCCATAGGAGGCGCCCGAAGCGCACGGAGCCCCGCCCCGCCTCCCAGGCCTTTCCTTTTCCTGTCCCACTCAGCTACCTCCAGGATTTGGCTGAACTGGGCCTTGAGCTCAAAGTAGGGGCGGCTCTTGCCGATGGCCCGCCGGAGGGTCTTCTGCAGGGACTGGACGCGGGCCTCGGCCTGCTGGCACAGCCGGGTCACTCGCTGGTGCTCCCGCTCTCCTCGGAGCCGCTCCTCCTCCGCCTCGTTCACCTGGCCCGAAGCGGCGGGAGACACATCAGGGATCGGGGGCAGGCTGCCCATTCAAGCCCTGCCTCGGGAACTGCAGCCCCACCGAGGGCAGAGCTGGCTCTTGTGTGAGGAACACACGTGTGTTAGCCACACGGCGTGGCCTGCTACCTGATCCCAGCCAGCCCTCGAGGACGTGTTTCTGCAGCCACTGTGTCCCATTGTCTTATCTACCGTCAACCATGGCGCCTGCTGCTCAGCCTTGTTGACGCTTGGACCAAGAATGCTGAGCCCATCCAGAGCACTCACGAGCAGGAAGGGTACCTGTGAGCACTCAGGAGCAGGAAGGGTACCTGTGAGCACTCACGAGCAGGAAGACACATTGTGAGCACTCAGGAGCACTCATGAGCACACTGCACACCAGCGGCAGCGCAGGTCCGGGGCTCTCGTGTGCCTGAGTCAGGGTCAGGGCCAGAAGGAGGCCTCGGAGGGAAGCCACAGCTGTGCCACGGTCCCCGGGTTTCCACACACCATCTGTGCAGCTGGTGCCCATGTTCGAGGAGCACAGGATGACTGGCCAGCCGGGCTAGCAGTTCACACGTGCCACACTCTGGGCAGAAGCAGGCCCACCACCCTCATTACCCTACCCACACCACTTTAAATCCCCCCACGGGGAAGTTCTTTGTCCCATTAGCATGAGCTCCTCAGTACAAGAAGAACGAAAAGACACAGCCACCTCCGACAGGCTGCAATGGGCCCCGCTCAAGATGCAGGTGACAGAGCAAACCCAGGGCAGGGTCTTCTCATTCCTCAACCTACTTTCAAGCAGAGAAGGGAGACCACGCTGAGAACAGAAGCAGTCCCAAAAACAAGCCTAACAATGTGGCTGGCGGATCCGGGCGTCCATCAGCGACACACTGTTTGGGTTAGTCTCACGCCCGGAGGGAACATTCTGAACTGAAGGAAGGCTGCAGGGGAGGCCAAGAAAGGAACACGGAGAGGAAGTGGAGGGAGCAAAGGAGCGCGAGGCCTGGCGAGGCGCCGCGGTGTGCGCACTCACCTTGCAGGTCGCGTGGTTGAGCATCTCCTGCCAGGTGGGGTCTAGCCGGTTCTTGTCGGCCATGACACCCTGTTCAGCCACAAACACCATCTCCCGGGCGGCATTGTGCATGCTCACGGCCCGCTCGTACCGCAGAGCAGCCTTCTGTGTCTCCTGCTGGGCCTGGGGGAGAAGGTCATCAGGAGGGGGGCTGCTCCGAGCATGGGGACAGTAGACGGACAAAGGCCCACTTGCAATCACTCCTAGTGCCATTTCAAACTTCACCAAGAAGGCCACGAGAGCCATGTTCTATAATGCACATTTCCTAAGGATATGGCTGAGGAACAGAAATACATATTCACACTGGCGCTGGGTGGTCCATTTCTATAATCCTTGTTACTCATGAGGCTGAAATCTGAGAATTAGAGTTTGAAAGCAGCCCAGGGAAGAAAAAAAAAAAAAACCCAAGATTCTGATCTCCAATTAACCAGCAACAATCTGGAAGAAGAAGTGTAGCACAAGAAGTGGCGCTGTGGCTCAAGTGGTCGAGTGCTCACCTTGGGAAGAAAAGCTCAGTGACAGTGCCTAGGCCAGAGTTCAAGCACCACGACCGACCAAAAAAAAAAAAAAAAAACAATAAGCGTAGCACAAACCAGCCATAGTGAAAAGGTGGAAGAGCATGAGAGCTGAGTTCAAGCCCCAGTACCAGACCTACATACATACACATATGTATACCTATAAATGCTACCCATGGACGGCAGGGAGGTTTATACTCTCAAAGGCAGTGGCCTTGGGCCCTAGAAAAGTCCTTACCATTTCAGTTGGAAGGCAGGAAGGGCTGTGGGCCAAATGTTACAGGAAATAGGCTTCAGAGATCCACATCCAGAGGGTATTGAAGAAAATAACCACATACATGTTCAAAGATATTCATCACAGCCATACAGATCGACTGTCCTTAATCAAACATCTAAAACCCAAAATGCTCCAAAATCTGAAACTTCTTGAGTGCCAATGTAACACCGCAAGCAAAAAATTCAAAATTCAACCATACACAAAATGATTAAAGATATTTGGATAAAAATTACCTTCAGGCTCTGTGTATAGGGTATTTATGAAATATAATGAATATTTCAACATGAAACCAGAAACACTTTTGGTTCCAAGCATTTCAGATAAGGGATTTAACCAAGCAAAAAACTGGAAGTAAATTTTGTTTTCTTTTCTTTTTTTCTTTCTTCTTTGCCAGTCCTGTGGTTTGGACTCAGGGCCTGGGCACTGTCCCTGAGCTTCTTTTTCTCAAGGCTAGCGCTCTACCACTTAATCCACAGCACCACTTCTGGCTTTTTCTGTGTATGTGGTACTGAGGAATGGAACCCAGGACTTCATTCATGCTAGGCAAGCACTCTACCACTAAGCCACGTTCCCAGCCCTGCAAACTTGTTTTCAATTGCAAGAAATTCACTAAGCAAATAGCAGTGTACCTAATGTGAAGAAATACTCAATCTTTTGAAATGGCATGGTTAAGTTAAAAGCTGTAAGTCAACTCAGTGGCAAAGTACTTGCTTAGTATGCAAGACTCTGGGTTTGATCCCGGCACTCCCCACTCCATTATATATGGCCATACATATATACACACACACACATATATACACATACACACACATAGATATACGTATGCATATACACATGTATATGTGTATAAGCATATATATACACACATACATGTATTTGTATATATGTGTGTGTATCTTGGTATCATGGTATCATATATCATAATGGTAATAGAACAAGAACAGTACATATTGTATAATCTCATTTTGTAAAATACATAGCAAAGTCATTTTTAAAACAAACTACAAAAACACACATGGTTATCAGTGCTATATTAATCACATTGTGTATTTTCTATTTTTTGACATCTTGAAGGCAAGCTAGTTTGGAAGGGATTGTGCCTCCCAGGGCTAACAAATTCCTACACTGTAACTCCTCAGTTTCACCAACCAGCCTAAAGCTGAATTCCCCAACCACCTTTACCGAACTAATTCTAATCCACCAAGCCCTAAAGTCACCTCAGGGCCAGGAACTAGACAACTGGATACCACTCTTATAGCCTAGAGTCTATCATATCTGTTCAGACTAGCCCATCCTAAACTCACTCCAACTTGCCTTCCAGCTTTACCCATTCTTTCCTAGGAAAGCCAGAGTCAGGTAATGGGCTATGCTTTCTTCACTAGTGCCACCTACTGGCGCCTAGTGAGACCCTCTCCTGGCTGGGCATGGCACATGCCTTTCCGAAGTCTTCTTTAGAAATAAACTTCTTTGGAGGCAGTTGTCCACAGATCTAGCACCTTTACATACCCAATAAAACAAATAATGGATATCCGAGTAGGATTTGGGGCAGTTGTGGGTTTCTTTTCATTCTTTTTTTTTTCTTTTTTGGTAGAAAACTGTAGACAGAGACTCATGGGCCTCTCTGCCTGGGCTGGCTCTGAGCCGTGCCCCTGACCTCTTGAGTAACTAGAGTTACAGGCGTGAGCCACCAGTGCCTGGGCTGGTTTCTTGTTTCTACTAGTCTTATGGTAAACATATAATTTATGTAAAAACACAAGATGAGGACTGGGTCAAGAGGGTGGATTAAGCAAAGACACATAAAAGACACAAAAAGCAAAGGGAGAGAGAGAATGGTGGTGGGGGGGGGTGGAGAATGAGAATAGAACGTTACAAGTAGCATAATAGATAAGCCCTAAGACCCGATTCCTGACAAACAGAAGCCATTTCAATTAAACATCAACAAGGGGAGAGTGTGGGTATAGCTCAGTGGTCGAATTTTTGCCTAGCCACTGGGTTTGATTACAAAAAGAAAACAAGAAAAATAAACAAAAATTTAAGGAAAGCAATAAAAGCCAAAAAATAAATAACAATGAACACTAGCAGAACGGACTTAGACTTTCTATCTCAGGACCCACAAGCCTGCATCCCACCATGTCTGAGGCCATAAGCCCAATTTCTAGATCTTAGCCACGGGAGGAGAGGAGCTTCCTCAGCCGGCGGGACTCTCCGTCAGGTGCAACGCTTTGTTTATACTCCATCCAGACACAGCAGTCTGAAGGCCTCCCTGAGGGCCAGCCACCGTACCTCCTTGGCCAGCCGCCGGGCCTCGTAGTAGGGCCGGGCCTTCTCGATGCAGCTGCCCAGGTGGGAGCCCTGAGTGTTGAGCTTCCTGGCCGATTCCTGCAGGATCCTGCGGTAGGTAGTTCTGGCTTCCTGGCGGAGGGGAAACAAGCATATTGATTCTGTACTCTCTTCTTTCCACGACTGTTCTTCCCCCTGTCACTGTCTCGATCTGGGACAGATACAGACAGAGACACCCCGGGACCAGCCTGAGCACGGGACAGAGACACACTCACGTCTAGCTGTAGCTCCACCTGATTGATCTCCTCACTGGCCTGGTTCAGGTGCTCCAGCTCTTCCTGCCAAGAGGAGCCACCAGTGAGTTAGCGCAGAAGGACGTTGCAGAGCGGGCGCACGCCCAGAGCAAGCCCCAAAGGACCAGAGGAGGGAGGGGCAGAGAAACGAACTGTTCCACTGCCCCCTTCTCTGGAGACATAACGTAGACCATTACATGTAACCTTCACAACTCCACTTTGTGCTGGGCAATCAAACCCTTATTTTAAGGATGAGGAAACTGACGCTCGGGGAATGCATTACTAAAATGCACACAGTATGGTAGCAGTTAGTCAACCACCTGTTGCACCGCTTTCTCTCAAGGGAGACCCCTTGGAGCTGCAGGGCTCCTACAAGAGGGCCCTGGCCAGTCCACTGGGCGCATGCACACTGGAGACTCACCACCTCTAAGCAGGGTAACGCAGGAACTTACCACACAGACAGTGAGGAAGAGCATCACATACTCCTCAGGCTCCTGGAGTAAGAACGCTGAGTGAGCCTCGCTGACGCAGCGTCATCCGCCTGGGCAGCTGGCCAGGGCAAGATGCCCGGAGTGGCGGCTCCACCCCACCCCGAGCACCAACGAGCAGGCCCCAAGGTAGACAAGTTCATGTCATAGAGCACCATAGGGCTGGGGTACTTGGGCTCCTCCCGGTGGCAAAGGAACCCTTCGGAGCCTAGTGTGGTTTTACAATATAAGAAAGCTGGGGAGGGCCAAGGAGACCAAAGTAAAAACTGCCACCAGCCAGATGCCCATGGCTCCCGCCTGTCATTCTAGCTACTCAGGGGGCTGAGATCTGAGGATCACGGTTCAAAGCCAGCCCCAGCAAGGAAAGCCCCTGAGCCTCTTATCTCCAATAAATTACCAGAAAACCGGAAGTGATGCTGTAACTCAAGCGGTAGAGCGCTCGCCTTGAGCTGAAGAGCTGAGGGACAGCGCCCAGGACCAGAGCTCAGGCCCCACAACCAACAAAAACCAAAAAAAACCTGCCACCAGCATTTCATATGGAAGAGAGAGGGTAAGCCCAAGGAAACAGTGCACAGAACCACAAGGGATTGGTGGATGACAGACCAAGACCAGGGAGAGTACCGGCTCCCAAGAGGCCTAAAGCCTGCTCGGACAGTTGGGACCCCTTTCCCAGTGAAGTCCCCCGGGACATAGAGGCGTTCCCAGGGGAAAGCAGCAGGTGTGCCTTAATTGTGCCCGAGCTGGACAAAGAAGCAATGAAATGACTGCAGGCTTTCTGATTGGCAGAGGGCGAGTGGTCCTAGTCTGGAGGCACCCTCCTCGGTGCAAGGAAGCACACAAGCTCCCAGAATTCCTAAGGAGCGAAGAGACTCCCAGAGAGTGCTGGTCAACCCCAAGGGCTCTGTCTCCAGAAATGCTTAGTGCTTGGCTGCAGGCTCCGTAGGACTGCAGGACCCAGACCCGCATTCGCACACTACACACACACTTTGATCCTCAATACTCTGCCCCACCAGCACACACATACACGCTTTGATCCTGAATACTCTACTCCCTGTATAACTCTA